ATTAAGGATCTACAACCTATCCTGAAGGGTGACCCAACACTCTCACCTATCTTGGGAGACAGGCCAGTCCTTGCCTACAGACAGCCCCCCAACCTGAAGCAAATACTCACCAACAACCACATACCACACAACAGAACCACTAACCCAGGAACCTATCCTTGCAACAAAGCCCGTTGCCAACTGTGCCCACATATCTATTCAGGGGACACCATCACAGGGCCTAATCACATCAGCCACACTATCAGAGGTTTGTTCACCTGCACATCCACCAGTGTGATATATGCCATCATGTGCCAGCAATGCCCCTCTGCCATGTACATTGGTCAAACTGGACAGTCTCTGTGTAAAAGAATAAATGGACACAAATCAGATGTCAAGAATTCTAACATTCATAAACCAGTCGGAGAACACTTCAATCTCTCTGGTCACGCAATTACAGACATGAAGGTCGCTATCTTACAACAAAAAAACTTCAAATCCAGACTCCAGCGAGAAACTGCTGAATTGGAATTCATTTGCAAATTGGATACTATTAATTTAGGCTTAAATAGAGACTGGGAGTGGCTAAGTCATTATGCAAGGTAGCCTATTTCCCCTTGTTTTTTCCTACCCCCCCCCCCCCAGACGTTCTGGTTAAACTTGGATTTATGCTGGAAATGGCCCACCTTGATTATCATACACATTGTAAGGAGAGTGGTCAGTTTGGATGAGCTATTACCAGCAGGAGAGTGAGTTTGTGTGTGGGGGCGGGGGGTGAGAAGACCTGGATTTGTGCTGGAAATGGCCCACCTTGATTATCGTGCACATTGTGGGGAGAGTGGTCGCTTTGGATGGGCTGTTACCAGCAGGAGAGTGAGTTTGTGTGTATATGGGGGTGGGGGGGTGAGAAAACCTGGATTTGTGCTGGAAATGGCCCACCTTGATTATCATGCACATTGTAGGGAGAGTGGTCACTTTGGATAAGCTATTACCAGCAGGAGAGTGAGTTTGTGTGTGCGTGTTTTGGTGGGGGGGGGGGTGAGAAAACCTGGATTTGTGCTGGAAATGTCCCACATTGATTTTCATACACATTGTAAGGAGAGTGGTCACTTTGGATAAGCTATTACCAGCAGGAGAGTGAGTTTGTGTGTGTAGTTTTTGGAAGGGGGTGGGGTGAGAAAACCTGGATTTGTGCTGGAAATGGCCCACCTTGATTATCATACACATTGTAAAGAGAGTGGTCACTTTGGATGGGCTATTACCAGCAGGAGAGTGAGTTGGGGGGGGGCCGGGGGGCGAGAAAACCTGGATTTGTGCTGGAAATGGCCCAACTTGATTATCATACACATTGTAAGGAGAGTGATCACTTTAGATAAGCTATTACCAGCAGGAGAGTGGGGTGGGAGGAGGTATTGTTTCATGGTCTCTGTGTATATAATGTCTTCTGCAGTTTCCACAGTATGCATCCGATGAAGTGAGCTGTAGCTCACGAAAGCTTATGTTCAAATAAATTGGTTAGTCTCTAAGGTGCCACAAGTCCTCCTTTTCTTTTTGCAAATACAGACTAACACAGCTGTTACTCTGAAACCTACAACAGCATATGCATTAGAAGAGAGAGAGAGAGAGAGAGAGAGATTTAACCATATTCCTTTATTCATTTAATAACTGGGAACTTCCATTATCTTAGTTTAGAGTCTAGACATGAGACATTTTATGTCAACATCTTCTTTCCTTAATTCCTGACACCCAAACCTGACTTCAGTTTTATGCAAATAGATGAGAGTACTGTACAAATCCTGTTATTCTACCAAAACAGACTCTGGAATAAAGTGATCGGGAAGTTAATGAGTAGTTCTGACATTATTGCTGCCCACTCTGGTGCCTTTCATTAACACAGATGTTCACTTGCATATTTTTCTGAATTGACAAATCAAGACGAATGTATTATTTATTAATGCAACTGAATTTTATAATCTCCTCATGTGAGATGCTGTAGAAAAATATACATGAATTAAATAGCACTGGACCAAACTGTGCAGAGAAAACCAGCTCATCTGCTAATTTAGGATGGGCAATAATGATTCAAAGGGAAGTGCTGACGGAAAGAGAGCCTACAATGGCTAAACGTGAACGGATCTGAAATGAACATAGCTACAGAAGGATTGTAGCAAACGTTTTCCTGGCGGGAGATCCCAAGGAGAACCAAGACAGCCCTGCCCTTGGTCCAGTCAAGAGAAATCCTCAGGATGGGCACCAGAGGAACTTGGCTAACCCTGTTTTCATTCTCTTTGGAGGGACATAAGGGGAAAAGGGCCTCAGGAGTGTCTGGCCTATGTTGTTAACATTGGTGCTAAAAATGTCCAGAAAGGTCATAAAGTGTCCTCATTCCATGCACACAGTGTCAAATCAAGCACTGCCTACACAGTGGGGGTAGGATACTGCCTTAAATCTGCATAAGCCATTGATTGGCTATATCTGCCATGTGCTGGCATCTCTCTTGCTTCCAAGACTCGAAGAAGACAGCTGCTGGCCATGGCACAGAACTCCAGGGGATTCATTTGGTGCCGGAGGATGCCCTTTTGCCATCCCAGATTACAGTCACTGTATCCAATTAAGGAATGTACTGCTTTTTCTAAAATGAATACAGAGATACCATGAGAAGGGTATATTACAACCAAGCATAGTTTAAACTCACTCACCTGTTAAGTGCTGTATCAGGCACCTGAGTTTTCAACTCCTCCATGACAGCCTTCATCCCTCTCTTGTAGGGATCTAGTTTTGCAGATGTATCAAACTGAGGGTTATGCCTCATCAGATATTCTCCTAGAAAATTAATGGGATCAAACTTGGGTGGATCTTGGTCTGTTTCAAGCACCTTCTTTCTTTCCACTTCCATTAACAATTTTTCTACTCCTGGGACTAATGTGGGTAGGAGTTTGTCGAGCAAATAGGCCCTGGTGTCCCTTGTCATCTTCTCTTCACTCAGCCATTCCTTAGACAGCCAGTCCAGAGGTTCTTTCTTTTTTATCTTTTCTTCCTCTGCCTTACGTACATGAATCTTTTCCACCTTTTCCCTTTGTAGATTCAACGCTCTCTGTTGTACCTTCTCATAGAATGTCTCTTTCCATTGAGCATCCTTTCTGAGACCTGGCAGCGTAGCACTCTCCTGGCTTCTCCTTTTTGCTCTGATGGGCATACTCTGAACACTAAGCTTGGGGAGTTTCAGTCCAGGAGTTTGGCCTTCATCTTCTGGCACAGCAGCCATATTTCACTGTGGTACATGCAAAAGCAGATCAACACCATGTAATTCTGAAAGACATGGCAGAAATGTCTTAGATAGATAGAAAATACAAGGGAAAACAAATCTATACAGTTAGAAAACAATCAGTAGATGTTTCTTTTACATTCCTTTTCTAAATCAGAAATTGTTACTTTGCACTCCTAAATAAATACAGCCCATTTCATCTGAGGAGCTTAAAATGCTTTACAAGCGTTAATTATTAATTAATTAAAATTATGCCTCACAAATACCCCGAGAGATCCTGGAGCTAAATATTTGTATTCCCTTTTATGGATGGGGAACTGAGCCACACAGAAGGATGCTCAAGGTGACCCAGCTAGTCAAAGGCGGAGTTGGGAATAGACTCAGGCGTGCTGTCTATCAGTCCCCCATTTTAACCATTAGACAACAGTTCCCCCAATTTGAATGTTTTCCTTCAGTTCCCCTTCCTTGTTTCCAACTTTTCTAATAATTCCCATGAGACATGGGATACAGGAAGTAATATGTGTGTAGTAACTGAGGCTGGGAGTTTTCCATGTAGCATCAACACCCTATTTTCTGCTATTCAGAACTGCCCATTTCGTCTCCATTTTTCCCATGCCCCTGGGAAGCAGTGAGGCAGATACTACGCCTACTTTACTTCATTTTTTGCAAATGTTTGTCCTCTGCCCATTTTCCAGTGTGGAATGTTTCTCTATGGGGTTGGGATCTGCCACCCCTGCTATGGGACAGGGAGCTCTGTGTTAGGAAGATGATGAGACATTAAACTGGATCCTGAGGCTGAGTTGTTCTCTAGCATTTCATTCTGTGGGTCACTTTGAAAGTGGGTTAAGCTAACAGAGTGTTCACACATGGAGTTATTCAGGAATAGCTATTGTGCTTTAAATTTACATCCCACCTTAATCCCCGTTAACTTTCAAGTGTAGACAGACCCTAATCTCAGAGACCCTATCTTCCTTCATCTTGGTCTCTCATAATGTTCATTCTGTGGAGCACCAGGAAGGACAGTGTGGTCCTGAGGTGGTGCATGAGCCACAGTTTGAAAGCTACTTTCTGTAACCCTTCATACATACAGCTCTCATCTGCCTCTATGGGAATTGAACACAGGGAATGCAGGCAGAATCTGACTTTACTAGCCAATTCAGAGACCAAAACACCATAACCATCCTGCAAAACACCCCTAACCCAGGGCTAAACAATAGCAAGGATAATCTCAATATCAGTAACGTCTCTGAGACAGTTTGACCAAAGCAAGGTAATTCCAAGTTAAGGCTGCAACTCTGCCCTGAACGTGCACCGCCCTGAATACAGGCATCCTTTAAAGGGGTTTCTGGCTGATTATGGCCTTTCAGTAGCCATATCAGTAGCACTGTTTTTGATATATTTTGCTATTTCCACTTCATTCCTAAATACTTGTAGCTGCTCTGAAGAGTTGAGCTTTTCAGGAAATGCACAAAAGTGATATACGGCCATCTTGGCACACTAGTGTAATTACTAGCATGTTGACCTTCTGGTTCCTAGCCAGGGTTTGAGTCCAAATATTGCCTGAAATGGGTATGATGATCCCTAGCGGTAAATTTCTGGGTCGGCTTTCTGATAGGTCTGGTGGCACCCTCTAGTCATTTGTGCAGGGTGGTGATTATCTGCCTGGGGGGTTGGGGAGGATGGATTTATATGTCAGGGTGCTTGCCTGGCCCAAGAAATGGGTTATAAAAATGAGAACGGTCTTTCCCGTTTGCAGATATAACTGTAAAGGAGCACGGAGTTAGAAAGGCAAGAAGGGAACTTGTCAACCCCATTGGATTGCCATTGGTTAGGTGAGTTTCTTTCAGTAACATGTAAAACCAAGCTCCTTTGGAACATTGGTAAGACATCGGGGGGTTAAGCCAATGTCCTGGCCAAATTCTAAATGAAGTAGTTATATTGTGCCTACATAAACTACCGTTGCAATTTCAACTGGTTATGATATTTTTCTTCATTTCATTACAGTGTTGTGCAGTGTTTCTGTGCTTTGAAACAGTTGCTGCATTCCACTCTAGAGGTAACCGCATTTCAGTGACGACTGATGCGATCCCTACATATCCCACATTTACCTCCCAGGGTGATTGTTAGGATTAATTCATGTTTGTAAGGTGCCTTTACACAGAGTGAAAGACACTACAGAAATGCAAATAATCAATGGGTTTGACTCTCTATTCCATTAAACCAGTGGTATAACTCCAAAACTGCGGTGAGGAAACAGGGAACCAGAACCATTAGCAAACTAGGAGAAGGAGGAACATGAGAACAGTCAATAATTATTACAATATTAGCAACATTCACCCCCAAAGTGTCAGGATCATACTCCAAACCTTGCATCTGTCAAGAGTTACAGGGCCAAATTCTCAGTTAATATGAATTACCATAGCTTCATTGACTTCGATGCAACTATGCTGATTTACACCAGCCGATAATCTGGCCCATAATTCACACAGCTCTCAAATGCTTAGACTATTCCCAAGTACAATCTTCCCTGGTGGTAACGAGCATAATGTACAAAGACAAGCTAGTTTTGAACACCAGTGAAACTCAAAAATTGATATAAAGGCTCTTCATACTGTTCAAAGTGAAAGCAAGACAAGCCTTTCACTAGGATACCATTTTCCTGGCTCCTTTTCTGTGTAGCAAACATTTGTGCTCGATAGCAACACACAAGTACAATTTGATTACCTCTCTGCATTCAGGATATTATCACTACGATAAAAATCCGCTCATAATCAAGATAGGTTTCACTAGATATTTATTTATTTATTTATTTATTGTAAAAAAATTTCCAAGTGATTATTTGGGGAATTTCTGAGTTATTGAAGTGCTTTCAAAAGAAGAAACCAGTCTGGGAATTTGTTTAGCCCTGCCATTGCTCAAAAAATAATTGTCTTTCCCCAAAGAGCTTCAGATGAAGTTTTATCTGATTCATCACAATGGCCCAAATCCTCCAGTGTATTTAGGCACCTACGTACCTTTGAGGATCGATGCGATTGTGCCTAACATATTTGGAGTATTTTTTCTTTTTTTAAGTCCTGGTTAAAATCAACCTTTAAAACGACTGTGATTTCGCTTCCTGGAACTCTACTGAAGAACTGTTTTTCTTACCTTCCGGGCAGGTATCAAACCAGAAATGTCTCCTCCTGCTTTCAGAGAGGCATTACAGATGAATGAGAATTTAATATACACCCATCAGTTCCTAGCCATTAGAAAACTTACAAGTGAATTAGGGATTTCTCAGTCCTGCTGCGGAGCCAGGCTGTGAGTTTTACTCCTGGGTGTGTGTTTGAGGTTGCTAAGCAATAAATCCAAAGGTTGCTATGTCTCATCTACTACTCAGAACTGCAGTAGATTGTCCACTGCTGTTGGCAGTTCAATATAAATTCTTCCTTAACTTACATCATTGTGTCATATGACCGGGGAAAAAAAGGTCTAAAGAATGGCAACACATATAGCACTAAATTTCAGTGCTGCCCAGGAGAATATCCATCCGTGCCTAGGGACAGTAGGCTGACCTTCAGAGTCAGGGATCATGAATTCCAGCCCTGCCTCATTCACTAGGAACAGAAATGAAGAGATTTTAGGCTGAGCTGAGGATTGTACCAAACAGATGTGAGAACCTGAGAGCATAAACAGAAATGAATTACAGGCCAAACTGAAATACACATTACTGGGTTCTTCTTTTCATTTAGAACGAAGAAACTTTGGAGTGGCCTGTGGAGTAAGCCAGCTGCAGTGAACAGAAGGGGGTCTTTAAGCACGCTGTTCTTTAAGAACAGATTTAGACTGGAATCTGCATGATTAGGGTCTATCATTATTTCTCTTATTCTTCCATATAATGGAGAACCTGTTCCACAGGATGAAAAGGAGGAGGGAAAGAAAAGTGGTCTGCATGAGACTAATTCTGTTCTCATTCACCCTGGTGTAAATAGAGAGGCACGTCAGTGGCTTCAATAGAATTACACTGGTGTAATTGAGAGCAGAATTTCTCCCAATGTCTTTATTGATTGAATTACAAACTAGCACTTCTGGAATGGCTGACTTTTCCAGTAAATTGTATTTATCTTATGCTATTCTTTCTGCAGCATCTCTATACTTTTTGCTTTTTAAGATGCATGACCATGTGGATTGACTAATCTCCACATGCACAAGAACTCTGGACTATGACTTCTGCATGCTACTTATCTGCGGGACTATGGCACTGTACTCTAGCCTGCAGTGCAGGTTTATGATTGCTCATTTCATGGGATATCAGAGACTGTCATAAAACGTTAACCTTATCAACTTTAATCTACCAAAACAAAGGTTAAAAGTATGATTGTTTTCCAAAATCTGGTGCATTATTTGTTTGAACAGTGTAACAGGGTATAGCAGGGCCCCCTTTGCTCCTGCCTCTGCTCCAAAAACCACTCAGAGACCCTCAGGTTCAGCAATCACTGGTGGAGTTTATTTGCAAGGTTCAATGCCACCACCTTCTCACCGTCTACAGCTTGGAGGTTTCAGCCTTAAGAGCGTCTCAGTCTCCACAACCAGGAGGGAAGCACTAACACTCTCCTTCCTCTCTCTAACTTCCCCTTGCTTCCTTCCTCTGGGCCTGTCTATAACCCCAGGCTAATTAGGCTGGCAGCTGTTTCCCCTTCACCAGTCAGGCACAGGTTTCTCTAGCCAGCTCCAATTTACCTTCCTTAATTGGAGCTGGCATAACAGAACGCTGGCTCAGGAGTCCCAGCCCAGCACTCTGTAACAAACAATATTGTCTGTCTAATTTGGGAACAACTGAGTACTAATTCCAGATCTGGCTCACTCTGTGAAAGTCACTTAACCTTTTTGCCTCAGTTTCCCAAAGAGGGACATGAGTGTTAATATATCTGTAAAGGCCCCTGAAGATGAAAAGAACTACAGGTAAAATTCCCCCTGTGCAGAGGTCTACCCAAGGTCACAACACCACTTACATCCCACTTAAATTCTTGAAATAAAATTTGTTCCAAAGAGCTGAACTGGAGCTTAAATGGTGCATAAGCCTCATGTGGGTCCTACATAAATTACAATGATTTGGACATGTATATGTGCATATTTATTTGTTTTTCCTAAAGTTAATTAAGTATTTTAGGAAAAATTGTCAGAGTGTTTGCTGGTGGCCACACTCTGAGACCACCCAAAAAATTGTTGTGAGAACCCCTGGGGCCCATGTACCTAACTTCGCGTTGTCCCTGTCATAGGGTTAGCTGGGCCCATTAAGGGAGTCCAGGCCCAGGCTACCCATGACAAGCTATTTTAAGGGGAATGAGTATTTCTAGGCAGTTAACTGAATAACAAGCACCTTGGCCTGACAAAATGCCATCTGGGCTCATTTGTAGGGAGGTCCTCAGAGAGAGAAGCTCTTTGAAGTGAGAGGAGCTACCGGAGACCACAGGTCCCAATGACAAGGGCTGTGCAAGGCCTGAGCCAAAGGAAAAGACTTTATTTCAAGTGTATTTATATTTAATGAAGTAGAACCACAGCAGGGGAATTTTGTCTTACAAACTTTTGGACTGTGTAGAGTTCTTAAGGGACCCTGAGAGAAGGGAAACTGAGGCAGGAAGTGCTGCGGTGCCACACTAGGTCAGCAGGGGGTGCTACAGGGTAGGCATAGCCCTGAAACAGTACCCTGAGATGTTTTATTTTCCTGTGTGTGCTCCTATAAATACTCTTTCAAAGGTCTGCATGGTTGTAATTTAGGCCTTCGGCCATCTATTCTGCATATTTAATATCCTTCTACATAAACAATATTCTCCTGAATACACTCAAATACCCATTTGTCCAACTAAGGCACCCTTCTGTCCTCACTATAATACTAACTTCATTTTAGTATATAGCATTTGTTTTCAGGCAGGGAGCATGAAACAAAAATCATCTAAATCAGCTTTCATGGGGAAAATACACTGAAATTAATTGTAAATTTTTGTTACTATTATAATTAGCAAAACAGATGACTAGGGAATAGACACTTATTTTAGTATATTTGCAAAATGTGTTGAAGTAAACCCTAGATTACTGTAATAAAATGCATCTGAAGCTTTGGGCATGGAATTGTTAGAATAATCTAAAATGTGGCTTTAAAATGGATTCTAATTCTATTCACTTCAAATCAGGTTCTGCATGACTAATTCCTGTTTGTCTTTTCATTCCCTGGTGTACCTGATGTTTCTCTTTTGGAATTCAAAATGTTGTTGTGGTCAATCTATAAATCTTTCTAAAAAAGAAAACTATCAATTGTAAAAATACTCTAATTTTCCTCAAAGCTGCTGTTAAACCACCAAATGAGAACAGGCGGGGAAAAAAACTGGCAGGAGTGATCTAAATGGCTCTATTTTTATTTCTCTGAAATTTAAATACTGTGGCAAAACAGTAATCACACCCTATTTAACTCAGATGTTATATCTTAATGTTTCCTCAAATCAAAGCATATCCTTCTGCCATCAAATACTTGTGCTGTGCTGTTGACAAAATAATGTGCTGAATATGTCATCACAGATGTTTTGCTGGGGTAACTCTTATTATATGTTATTTTTTGTTTTGTACACAAGATGCAGTCTGGGGGCATTCTGTGCCCTTTTACACTTCATAGCGGGACTATGCTATAATCGTTGATGTTTGGTAATACTGAAAATAAAATAAAAGGTGTGTCAGCAAGGGAACTATTTTCATATTTACTGAAGACAAAAATAACTTGTGGTTTGGGTGTGTTAAAAGATCTCTGGGGCCAGTCCTGCTGAGCATGGTACCCACAGCAACTTGCAAGATATGGACACAAACTTATGATCCATGTAATTGGCTGTCATTACCACAGGCTGCATTCTAATTGTTCTTTTAAATCAGAATACATTTCCCTTATAGCTTCCTCCTCTACACTTAAATTTTGCTGCTGAAAACTACTCCACATGCAAATTATAGCTTTCTAATGGCCTTCAATCCCCTGGATATCTGTGGTTATTTTAGTTAACAATGGATTTATTAGACCTTTAGCTGACTATAGAAAACAACTTGGTTATTTACTTGTTAGGAATGACTTTTTACAGGTGTTTGCTGTTTAAATATTCCTAGAAGTGCCAATGAATAGGTGAAAGCCAGAGAACTGTCTCTTTGGGAGGCCAGTTCAGATAAGTATTTCTCTAATTACTCCTGAGGGAAATCCCAGGACTTCCACTTTTCCAAATCTATTCAAAATGAAACCCCAATCCCATCTGAGAGGATCGCTGGAAGGCACTGGGAACTCCTAACCTGCACACTGTTTACACCTGATTGTACTACAGAGATATGCAAATTGAGGATACAGGTGACATCCACCAGTGCTCACCCCCATGCCTGCAGGAAACCATCCATTGGAATTAATCAATACACCAAGCACAATACTTCACACAGAAAGGTAAAAAACAACAAGATCCCTGTCATAAGTGATGGGGTAAAAATCCTTCACATCCTCAAATGTGAGGCCTCCTTCTGCTTTCATTGAAGATAATGGCAAAAATCTCATGGGAGCATGGACCATGAGTTGACTGTCAGTTCAACACTCTGCCTGTGAAAGCATCTCCTTTTCTGCTAAGCTTCTTTGTCCAAATGCCAGGGAACACATAACATCTGATCCTACACTTCTTGTGTCCCCAAAGCTCCTGCAATAGGAGGTTTGGGTGTACTAGGAATGAAGAATTGCTCCCATGTCCAAGCAGACATTACAGTTATTGCTCATTATAAGGCACATTTCTCATTTCAGATCTAAGTATAACTTCATTTCATAGACCTGAGCTCCAGTTTCTTAAATTATAGTACATGGTTTAAATTGGAAGAGATGAATCAGGAAACCATTAAAGAACTCCCCACACCTCCTATTTTCCCTGTGTCCCTTAGCTGGGCTCCAGCAGTCTGATCTTTCTTCTCCCTGATTTTATCCTTACCCCTATGAAACCCTGGGATAAATAAAATGCCAGGAACACTAGAGGCCCAATCCTGAACTCCTTGCTAAAGGACTAATCCTGCATTGAGCCCTGTGCAGGGATCTGCATTGCAGAATCAGTGTCCAAGGCAAAAATCCCAAAGCAGTCAATGTGAAGTGCAACATTAGGCCCTGAAACTTAGATGACAAATCTGAACTGAACATTTTTATTTGCATTCAAATATTAAAGAAATGTAAACAGACTGTTTTTTACCTGAGGGACTGGTCCACTCTGCCCAGAGATTTCTGTTTCACTGAAACAATCCAAAAAATACACATTATGCAAATATAAAATACAATTTAAACATGCAGATGATGAAGATACAAGCAACCTTATGTATATTTTAAAGTTATTAAAAACAAAACGGTATCCCACTCTGCCCAACGAAATTGTGTTCATCCATGACATTTTAATATGTAATTTTTTAGTTAAGTACATGCTGCAGTGGTTTGCTGAATTGGGACCACAGTGATGAATTGGAGCCACAGTGCTTACAAGCAAAGCTAGAGAAGAAGGATGGCCTTGTGGTTAAGACCCAAAAGCCACAATCCCACAATTGAGGAAGAAGGCTGTGCTGATTTAAAAAATGACATAGTTTAGAGGGGAAGTGAAGGCAGCGATAAAAATAAAAGAATAATATATAACACATGGAGGAACGGGAAAGTAGATAGCAATGAATATAAATCAGAAGTTAGGAATTATAGAACATTGATAAGGGAAGCAAAGAGACACAAGGAGAAATCTTTGGTCAGCAGAGTTAAGAATCATAAGAAAGTGTTTTTTTCAATATATTAGGAACAAAAAGAATCCTGACAATGGTATTGCTCTACTACAGATGGAAATGGTAAAGTTATCAATAATAATGTAGAATAGGCAGAAGTGTTCAATAAATATTTCTGTTCTGTATTTGGGGGGAAAAAGATGATAGTGTTATTATATCGTGTTAACCTTCTTTCCATTACACTAATATCTCAGGAGGATGTTAATGAGAAACTATTAAAGTTACATATTTTTAAATCAGCAGGTCCAGATAACTTGTACCCAAGAGTTTTAAAAGATCTGGCTGAGGAGCTCACTGGACTATTAATGTTGATTTCACTAAATCTTAGCACACTGGGGAACTTCCAGAAGACTGGAAGAAAATTAACGTTGTGCCAATTTTTAAAAAGGGTAAATGGGATGATCCGGGTAATTATAGTCCTGTCCACCTGACATTCATCCTGGGGAAGATAATGGAACAGATGATATGGGACTTGATTAATAAAGAATTAAAGGGGTAATGTAATTAATGCCAATCAACTTGGGTTTATGGAAAATAGATCTTGTCAAACTAACTTGATATTTTTTATGAGACAGTTATGCTGACTTTATGTTAGTAAGTGCTATCCCCAAGAGCAAATGTTTAATGATCAGGCAACTGAAAGCATTTTAAAATGAGATTTCTTCTCCACTCAAGTTCTCCAATGTCAAATTTTGAAAGGGCCCAATCCTGCAATCCTACACAAATCCAGAGGGTTGTAACTTCTTTTAAAATTAAAGGATTAAAATAAAAAAAATATAATGAGTCTGTTACAGGGGTCGATAAGGAAGTGAAGGGAATGCACTGGAGTGGAAAAAAGCAATCCAGTTACAAAACTAGGTCACATAGAGGATCACAACACAAAAAGGAGTGTTCTTTTCTCTCTCTTAAAATGCAGGTGAAACCAGAAATACTGATCTCCTGAACAACCATATCTATACTCTATCCCTGGTTATACAGAATGGAGTACACTGCTGAAAATAAAAGAAAAGGAGTACTTGAGGCACCTTAGAGACTAACAAATTTATTTGAGCATAAGCTTTCGTGAGCTACAGCTCACTTCATCGGATGCATTCAGTGGAAAATACAGTGGGGAGATTTATATACATAGAGAACATGAAACAATGGGTGTTACCATACACACTGAAACCAGAGTGATCACTTAAGGTGAGCTATTACCAGCAGGAGAGTGGGGGGGGGGGAGGGACCTTTTGTAGTGATAATCAAGGTGGCCCATTTCCAGCAGTTGACAAGAACGCCTGAGGAACAGTGGGGGGTGGGGGTGGGGGATAAACATGGGGAAATAGTTTTACTTTGTGTAATGACCCATCCACTCCCAGTCTCTATTCAAGTCTAAGTTAATTGTATCCAGTCTGCAAATTAATTCCAATTCAGCAGTCTCTCGTTGGAGTCTGTTTTTGAAGTTTTTTTGTTGAAGTATTGCCACTTTTAGGTCTGTAATCGAGTGACCAGAGAGATTGAAGTGTTCTCCGACTGGTTTTTTAATGTTATAATTCTTGACGTCTGATTTGTGTCCATTTATTCTTTTACATAGAGACTGTCCAGTTTGATCAATGTACATGGCAGAGGGTCATTGCTGGCACATGATGGCATATATCACATTGGTAGACGTGCAGGTGAACGAGCCTCTGATAGTGTGGCTGATGTGATTAGGCCCTATGATGGTGTCCCCTGAATAGATATGTGGACACGTCTACCAATATGATATATGCCATCATGTGCCAGCAATGACCCTCCGCCATGTACATGCCCCCCCCTCCTCTCCTGCTGGTAATAGCTCACCTTACGTGATCACTCTGGTTACAGTGTGTATGGTAACACCCATAGTTTCATGTTCTCTCTGTATATAAATCTCCTCACTGTATTTTCCACTGAATGCATCCGATGAAGTGAGCTGTAGCTCACGAAAGCTTATGCTCAAATAAATGTTAGTCTCCAAGGTGCCACAAGTACTCCTTTTCTTTTTGCGAATACAGACTAACATGGCTGCTACTCTGAAACCTGCTGAAAATAAAATCTAGCTAATAGAAGTGGCGAAGCCACCCAAAGGTTCAAAGCTAGAGACTGTCATAAAAAGCTTGTCATAGTATATGATCATACAAAGCATAAATATACAAAAAAAGTAAAAGTAAAAACACCTTCTGCTTGGGACTCTATGGAATATTTAGAGTGAGGGGGAGGATAGCTTATAAAGGGGCTGGAGGTAATTTTCCTGATCACTCCCTATAAATCACATAGCAGTGCTAACATGCTTTCCATAAAAACTATGTTTCAAAATAATAATCTGATGGTTGTTACAAGCAGTTCAATGACACTTTCTTTATGTAGGCAGTGTTGTTATAGCCATGTTGGTCCCAGGATATCAGAGAGACAGAAGATAGTCCAATGAGATATCTCACCCACCTTGTCTCTTTACTTGCTTTATGTATGTTTCTTTGCTTATTCTCCCCTTCTAATCTGATCCCTCAAACAGGTGCATTTTTGTGGATTCTGTATGTTCAAATTTCTCACTTTCTGCATAACCCTGAGTGAAGCATTCCCACAAAAATCACTTTCTAAACTCAGTTTTATTTTGAGTCCGTTTTTCATCCTCCTTCATCCACTAGGAGGCAAACGCTCATTAGTGAGCTTAACTTTTGTACCGTGGTAAAGGATAACTGCTGTACAGTTTGCCTAACAATTATTTTGACTGGAGGGCAGTGGGGGATAGACCAAAGAACTAGCACTGAGGGCTTTTCTTGTGCTTAGATTTAAAGGGCACAAAGCTTTTGTGACAGTTCTGTCAACCTGAAGGAGGAGATGAGAGTGAAATGCACTGAGTGCCTAAGAGGAATTGATGGGTTAATGCAAGCTGTTGGAGAAGAAGAGTGCTTGCTTTCTGTTTGAT